GCAGCCCCATACGGTTGCTGTGTAGGGCCATGTTGCATTACTGAGCTAATTATGACCCAGTAGGGCCAAACCCTTCTTTATTTTAACCATCCTGATAAATCAATGACTGTGTCTGATGCCGAAACAGTAAGAAAATAGTATGAGACTCATGGGAGGTTCAGCATCAGCGGCTCTAGTTTAGAACATTTGTTTTTCCAGAGTCCTATGAAAACGTTTCCTTGTCCTTCAGAATATTTTTTTTTTTTGTCCTGGAGCAGTATTTGCAAGTACATATTTAAATTAGAATTTATGATTAACAGTAATTGTACATGGCTTTTCAATTTAGCTAGCTACTTTCTTTCCTGGTACAATAAAAAATTGAAAGCCTTTGAAGGGAAGATAGGAATTGGCCATGTGTGCGTTCCAGTTTTGTTTAGTTCCTTTCACAAGTTCATATATCTAATAAATGTATCTTCTGCATGAGCAACTTAGCATTTGCTTCCTAAGACAATGAACAATAACTAACTTCATGTCTGGTCTTTGTCAGACATTATTACAAATTATGAGTGCCAGCCAGAAGTTTATTACCTTTGTGGTGTTCTCTTTCACAAATTAGGTTCTTGGAGCATCCAGCCAGCTCAGTGTCATAGCTCCATTCATCACAATTAGATGGCTGCACTGACCAAGTGAAGTCCTGCTGACTTAATGGACTCTGGGTGGGGACAACTCCTGCCCACCTGAGAGCAGCACCCCTGTGTTGTGGTCTTCTGAAACATGCAGGGCTTGATTTCCTGACATGCTGCTGAGCAGGTACAATGTGAGTTGGAGTACAGGGCACTTGCAGGTAGAGAGCAGCAGCGTGACTGAAACTGTAGTCCGGAGAGTTATTTCACTTCATCCTTCATCCATGAAGGACTTTGCAGTTTGGTGGGTGGCTTCGATGACCAGGGAGCTTTATGTGACACGCAGAAAATATTCTTGCTTGTTCAAATGTGATGGGGCTGAATAGGCAGGAGTAGAAATGTAGAGGATGCCTGGGCCGCGTCTGGCAGGCACATCCCAGGACTGACAGTGGAAATTCCAACAGCAGAGCTGTCACCTGTCTGAAAACAGGCTCACTCCCTATGTAGTCACTCAGGGTGAAAGGCTGCACAGTTTAAATCCCTATGAAACTTGTCCCTGTAGATACAATACCCTGTGCTACATGCCTCCTGCTTTCTGTGGGGCAGCTTTTATAGGAGGCTTTGCAGCTTGCAGGATGGTTTTTGTTGTGCCTCTTAACACTGTGCCCCAGGCTCCACTAAATAGACAACCTCATTAAAAGAGAAATAGCAATAGTAAAGCAGTGACTTTCTCATGCCATCTAACTCACACATTTGACATGATCGCTGGACCCTCCAAGTACTTAATTGATTGACTTAATTGATTTAGTGGCACTGGAGGCTACAGCATGGAAATAAAGGGGCAAAATGAGGATAAGGGGTGAAAAAATTTATGATAGGTGCCAAGCTGCCTGAGGGAAATTAGAAATGCTACAGATCTCAGAGGCAGCTAAATCAATTCAATGTGATGTTCAGGGAGCAACCTGGGGCAAGAGGAGGAGTGTGGGGGTAGGATGGAAAGAAGGAAAGAAAATAAAGGCTAGTGGGAGAGACTGGGATAAACTTAAGGGGAAGGGGACACACGGCAGCCTTGGTGGAGGGGAGTATTTTGGATTCCTGTAAGTTTAACACTAGGAAAAAACTTCCTAATGTATGAATAAAATATGATTCTCTTTAGCCTAAAAAGAAGGAGTCGTGCATCACAGGACTGGCTTACTTATCTGATTTGGGACTTTATCTGTGCTTGCATTTAAAATCCTCAACGTTTTCAACAGTGGCTGAAGTCACAAGAGACCTAAAATAATTTGGAGGCTATGTACAGTGGGTTTTTTAAACAACCGAAGCTTAAACATTAAATTACTTTCTAATCTGTGCAATATTTAATTGACTGTATTGAACCATAATACAAATTAAGTTTTCTCTATAATTTGTTCTGTCATATTGCAGCCCTCCAAAACAATTTGATACCTCACTTATGAATTGGTAAATGGCTCATAGCAGCACTCAGTGAAGACAGTAAAAACATCAAATAGTGTGTGATGGAATTCATCAAAATGGCCATATGAGGGGGTCATAAATATCCATGAGTTATGAAATAATTATTTTATGTGCTTCTGACCCACTAGAGACAGGATTAAATCATGGTAAAACCTTGAAGATTATAAAATAATAATAAAAGTAGCACTGACCAGCAGTTCTGCTCTAAGCAATATTGTGACTCTTGTTTCTTTTTCTTCTGGGACTGTTAATGTGCATTGAGGAGGTGGCTGCATGTGAGCAGTTCCAAACTGAGGGGTACAAGTGACATTTCTATTGGTTGGTCTCATTTTACAGGACAGATTAATCTGCACAAGTGCACCAGACTAATAGAAATGGGCAAGGACCATGTATTTCTACATGGTCTGGATTGTAGGTCTCTGTTGGGTGGCTGGATGAGATGGGGTTTCTCCTCATGCTGTCCTTTCTGCTCTCCTTCACCCTAGAGCAGGTTTCACTGCTGTGTGGGCTCTGGGGAAGCTGTGTCCTTAAACTGAGAGTTACAGAGAGGTGACAACTCTGATTTTGAATTTTATTGTGGGGAGTCTCTACTGGCTACAACAGGAATCTCATTCTTGCTTAATGATGAGCAAAGAGGGTTGGTCTCTTCTCCCTATTGACAAGCAACAGGACAAGAGGAAATGGTCTCAAGTTGCACCTGGGGAGATTTAGTTTATATATTAGAAGAAACTTTGGCACAGAAAAGGTAATTAAACAGGTGTTTAAAAGCTGTGGTGCTGAAGGACATGGTTTAAGCATTGACCTTGGTAGAGTTAGGTTAATGGTTAGCAGAGTTAGGTTATGGTATGACTTGGTGATCTTAAAGATCTTGTCCAACCAGAACGATTCTGTGTTTCTGTGAAAGAATCGGGCACTTGTTAATTAATTTTTGAAATGAAGTGTTGGAATATGTAGAAAGGACCCATTAGATGAATTGAGGGCTATGAAAGCACAGGTTCAAAGGACTGTTCCTATCTACGCTGCAGTACAGATGTGTGCATGCAACATTGCATTTCATGTGTATGTTCCAGCTCAGTGTCCCTTCAACACATTAAAAACTCTTACTAAGTGCTCCATACACTAAAATATGTGAAAGGATAATGTTGCAGTCACCTTTACCTAATTTGTACATGTATTGATACAGTGTGTGAAACATCATAACCGTTAAAAACGTAATGATTTTCAAACGGTTAATGAGGGTTCCCAAATAAATTGGAGTGTCTCCATCTGCTGTGTCACAGTGTGGGTGATATTTTTCCATGGTAGAATGATCTTCAAATTTAATTCCATGAGCAAGGAATCTTAGCACAGTTTAATTTCAGTGCAAAACGCCGCCTTGCAATCAATAAAGCAATGTCAGAGAACTTTGATTTAATAGGAGCCAGGGATAACTTTCCCTGTCATATGCAGAATAGAGAGATGGGAACACTTCATTTCATTGTAACAGATAATGTGCAACTTGGTTTTCAGAAAGGCCTAATAAATCAATATCCCTGTATTATCTAAGTAAGATCCCATCATTAATTTTAAATGCTTCACACATTGGGAGAGTCTGAAGTGCACCTTCAGCCTGAAGTCAATGGGCAACACTTCTGTTTTCCTACAAGAGAGCAATCTTGATCTCAGGAAGTTAGGAGTCATTTGCTGCAAAATGAGAATGAAACATGTCCAGTCTTTTGTTTTAGATGTAGTCATCAGTCCCTTCCATGCTGCCTCTCTCTTTAGATCTCAGTCTGTGTTCTGCAGAAGCCTCATCGCTCATCACTTGCCCTGCACATGAGCAGCCTTTTTGCCTCTACACAGACATATCCCTTCTGCTTTTGAATCTGAAAATGTTTGTGGTTTTTTGAACCCTAAAAATAACAGGTTGTTTAGCGATTGCCTGGATACCATGCTGATTTTCAAAATGTGCTTTTCTCAAAACCAGCAGGATTTTTTGCAGGAATCTGGACCTCAAAAGCTTTCTCTGTGGAGCTTTGCAGGCTCTCAGAAATAACATTATCCCTAGATGATGTAAGAGCAGGTCAATATATCAGAAGATAGAAATTCAAACTCATAGATTGTTCTAGATAAATTTTTCAAGGACATTATTTTGAGTAGAAATACTTAAATACTGTTCAGGTAATAAAACACTACTTAGGACAAAGCAAGTAAGATGCTAGCACTCCAAGGCATTTCCATAGGAGTCTCAGATTGATGTCCTGGCTCTGGGGAGAGTTTTACTCACACATTTAAAACAAAATTCAGTCTTCATTACAATTAGCCAAAGTGAGATTTTTCGATCAAATGTGAAATTTTGCATTCAGCATTTTTTTTCAAGTTGGATAATCGCATTTCCATAAATTTCTGGGGAAAATACATTTTTGGATTTTTGTTCCTGCTCTAAATTAAATGTTGCTTGCTGGCTGATACTGAGTGTTGTAGAGATGAAGCAAGTCTGGTGCTGATTCTTAGAGAAGTTGAAATCTGAGCTCTAGGTCCTGCAGCCCCTGCAGATCACTCTGTCCTCAGGCTCACCCTGGATGAAGCTACAAGCAGCTGCTGCTAGAAATATTGATTCTGTACCTAGGATGCTGTGCAGGTAGTAACTAGGTAACATGATATTTTCTATTGCATTATATCTCACCAAAAGCGACCAAGAAAATATTCTCTTGGAGTTTTTATTCAGATCATTAAAGCAAGTCAAGTTTGGCTGGATTTTGAAAAGAGAATGAGCTTAACGAGCCTTGATGTTCATTAATTTTGATACCAGATGATCCATGTTTGGCTTAATTCCACAGGTGTATGGAGACACAGGTAAAGCACTGATGAAAGAGAAATTGTACAGCTTTGTAATGGGACATTTTGATGCGTATTTCTTACTGGTTTTTATTCTTCTAATAGCTCCTACAGCACCACCATGCAGTTCATGAGATTTCATACATCGCAAAGGACATCACAGACCATCGGGCGTTTGGATATGTGTGTGGAAAGGAGGGAAATCATAGATTTGTGGCAATAAAAACAGCCCAGGCAGTAAGTATCAGGTCACTCATTTTCCTGCAGTGTAGCTTAATAGAAAAGCCATACTCATATGAAGCTGTTCCAGAGGCCAATCCTGTCTTGTTTATGATAGTGCTGAACTTGTCACAAGTGTCTGCTCAGGTGTTCTTAAGTAGCCAATTAATGAAGCCAATTTGAGAAGAAGAGAATGTATTTGGCTACTTCCAATTTTTAATGGCTTTTTTTTTTATAATTATCGTTTTCCTTTTTGACAAAACTACACTGGGTACAGGTAAGTTTGGTTTTATTCTCACACTTCTTTAAACAGAAAGTGATAGATGGCAAATAGCCACTTTCCATATAGTCTACTGTAATTCTGTTGCATGAGAAACCACTAATAAATGTACATTTATATTAATATATGTGCCTTTTATATTCATAATGCCTTTTATGTTAATCATTAAAATTATTTGACAAATATAGTTAGTTTGACAGAAATTAACTTGAGCCTGGATGCTAAAGTAGACTTTAATTCTGTATGAAGTTCTCTCCAGTTGTGTTACAACTAAGTTGCTGTAACTGCTCTATCAGCAGGAGGGGATAAGAGATGTACATTTTTCCATATAGAAACTTTCCTTCCTGTTTTTGCTTCCATAGGCTGAACCTGTAATTCTGGACTTGCGAGACCTGTTTCAGCTCATCTATGAACTGAAACAAAGGGAAGAAATGGAAAAAAAGGCACAAAAGGACAAACAGTGTGAACAAGCGGTATACCAGGTACACAGATAAGCTTAGACTGTTACCAAGAGAAGTATGGTTTGAATTATCCCCCCAAAAGTGGCTCCAAATAGGGCACTGAGCATTCCCAGCATTTCCTAACAGCAATGAGTTTGAACAGTTCTAGATGCAAATGGACAGATACCAACCTAACAGCCACTCTGAGCTCAGAAGTATGATTAAACAGGCATGAAAGCTGTAACTTGGGGTATGATGAACATGTTTAGCAACTGGAAATGAGCTGTTCATTTCCTGCAGAGGGTTTTCTTCTGATTCTGAAGGAGAACTTTAATGAAGGTCAGTGTGTTGTAAGTCAAGTTCTTTGCAGTGTCCAATACTTTAGGGAAGTTTCAATGTACTTCTGAATGTGTGTATTTGAATCACATTGGATAAGATGCAGATTGTTTAACTTGGATGAAACTTGAATAAAGTTACTTTGTACAATAATGTGACTTTATCTGTATACTGAAGAAAGAAAAAGCTATTTACTTACCTGCCTGTTTTGCTTATTTCTTTGCTGTCCTTTAATTTCTGAATACGGTTCTTTTATCTCTACTGTTTATGTTCTTTGCTTTTACTGCCTGTCCTCTTACTTTGCTGTAGACAATTTTGGAAGAAGATGTAGAAGATCCTGTATACCAGGTAATTTCTGAAGCTGTATGGCCTTGGAGTTTCAGAAATGACTAGCTACATGTCCTCTTCAAAGACGGCCAAAACCTCTAACAAGATGTTATGAAATTTATTGAGATAGGTCTTCTGAGAAACTTGTAAGATTTTAACAGAAAGTAGCATATTTAGAGACCAAGTTGTATGTAATAGCACAATATAGCTGTATAGAACAGAATATTTCAGATGGTATATAGAAATAGTAGATGAAATGTAGCACAAATATTGCCTAAAACGTGGCTTGTTGAGTGCAGATATTAAGTATACAAATCAGATTTGTCATAATTTTTTTTATGCAAACACTCATTGGAAAGGGAGTTACTTTGAGAACAAAGAAGGTGACATCTTGTTCTGATACTAATAAATTGACATTTGGGTTTTTTCCTTCTATGGGGCTAGAATTTAATTCAAAGGGTGACTATTTGCAAAAAACAACAGTGGAATTAATGTTATAAAACACTCCATGTTGGTGTTTGGGCTATGATTTAATAATAGCTCTGAAACTTAAGTCTTGTTAAGTCAAGCAAAATGTCTGGCAACAAGGTAATTATTAGAAATATGTCAATATATTCGTGTCCGATACCCTACTGGGTGTGAAGAAGAAAAAGATGTAATTTCATTCTCATTTTTTTTTTGTGCTGAAAGAAAATATGTGCTAGTTTAGGTTTCATTTTCCTGGAGATGTTGTGTTCTTCCACTTAGGCGTGTCAGCGGGAGGCGCGCTGAAAGAAACTGATTCAACCATTAGTGAATATTGAACAGTGCCTAAGGTGCAGCAAGAAAGATGATAAGAATTAGGATGCCCTAAATTACTATTCAGCTTTTATAATGTCAGGAGTTTTACTTTGTGCCCTTCACAATAAGGGAAGAGCCTGAAAATGAAAAGTGTTGTGACAGCCTTTTGCCATGTGGCCTGTTACATGAGCAGCAGCCTGTTCCCCCAGTTTGGCTTTAGCTTTTTTATTCATAAATATATGTGGAGATAATTGCCATTATGTAAAAGAGGTAAAAGTCACATTGACTTCAGAAAATTAATACTGGGCCACAGGCGGCCTCCCTAGTGAGGAAGAATTAGGAGGTTGCTCTAATGATCATTAGAGGAGATTTAGGTCTATTCATTGCCCATTTATGAAATACAAACCAACCTCACTCTGCGCTTCCCGACAAACGGCTTGTCCTGCTGCCAGCCTGTACTTTGAACTTGTTTCTTTAATGCCTGCCTGTGTTTTTACGTGAAATTCCAAATTGCCTTTTTTTTCCCTTCTGTTTCATCCTTGACTTTTCCTCTCTGGCGGCTGGTGTCATAGTACATTGTGTTTGAGGCTGGACACGAGCCAATCCGTGAGCCTGAAACGGAAGAAAACATTTATCAGGTATAGAATCGCTAACGTCGGTGTTTTCGTGGCAACAATTTGCAAGCATTTAGTGAAGTAACATTTTCATTCCCTTTGATTAGTTTTCATTCCTCACAAAATGTCTGGCATTTCATTCCAACAGGATGGCAGGAATAATCTGCCCAGTCTCAGTGTGATCTTTCTGTTGTTTGTCATTGCAGCTTCTGCAAATTGTATTAACTTTGTCAAGTGATGAAAGGTCTTAAACTTTTGAGTAAGGGGATAAAAAGTGGAATCTCTTTTTCTGTTAATTCTTTGAAACTTTTCACACCTGGTCTTCAGAAGCAGACAGTGAAATCTCATGGAGGGCAGGCCACCCAAGCAATTCTTAGAAAGACATTTTGATAGTTCTCTTCTTCTTTCTCACTAACCAAGGAAAAAACTGAGCAAAATAAGAGCTCCCAGTGGATATCCCCCAGACTGGGAAAAATATTTCCAGAGTGCATATGTTTGAGCCTAAGCTTGCATTCTTCACACTGACAAAAAGCTGCATTGAAAGCAATATAAAATAATCTTTTCTCATTCAATTTATCCTCAAGGGATCAGTTTGGGGTTTATTAAAATATAATGTAATTCATTTTGTAACAGCTACTAGAGGCAAATCTGGAGATAGACAGAAATCTCTGGATGCTGTAAGAAAATTGTGATTTCAGGAAATAATGTGGAGGGGAAGGAGAATCAAGTGGTGATTAAGCATTTCATCAAGCTGTACTAGAGCTTGATCTGCTAATAGGAAATGTTTTTTTAAGGTAGGTAGCAGCAGGGGTAGAACATAAAAAAGGGGAATTTATTTTTTTAAAGTAGTGAGAAAAGTTGATAATAGGTAAATGAAAGGGTCGAGTAGCTGTAAGCCAAAGTAGAAGCAGCTAAGTAAGAAAAAATGTGCAAAGAATTCCCTTCTCCCTTGAAGGAAAAGGTTCCTGCCCAGTGGGTAACTGGAGATGGAAGATATGTGCCAAAAAGTGACAATTTCTGTTTTGTTTTAACATAGTAGAGGTCACAATTTTCTTTTAAAGTATTCTTTCTCTTGTCTGTCACCTTTCTTTGATGCATTACCCCAAAGACTGTCTGTCTCTCTGCTTTTTTCATCTTGTCTATGAAAGTTACTCTAATGCATTAGTTAGGCAAGGACTCAATCACTGAGCATGTACCAATCCTCTCATCTAGTGTCAGATTTAACAACTCTCTGCCTGTAACTTGATGGTAGTGAGGTGGGGATGGGGTTTTGTTAGGTGTTTTTGTGGTGTTTATGTGGCAACACTGGTCTGAGGGAGAGTTCTGCTCCATCAGGAGTTGGCAATCAGAGATGGGGGTTTCTGAGTTACAGTTGTAGTGCTGATAAGATGCAAATATGCCCAAGTGGTTCACAGCCTGTCATGGAGCCAGAGCTGTCAGCAGCCATAGTGCTTGTCTTCCTTGGCTGATATTGCCAATCAAAGGCACAACAGGATAAATCCCTTGCAGACCCCCAGTCTACATAGCAGTGCAAAAAGGTGGTGTGATACATAGCAAGTAAAAGCAACAGGAAGATGGATGGTATCGAGTTGGGAGAGAAGAATGTCTTTCAGAAAAGTTTCTCTTTCTTGATATTAGAAGTCAGACGCTTTTCTGTAATGTAATTAGAAACTGAAGTAAGAGGGCAGGGATTGTTAGTGCAGGAAAATGCTCGTTCCATAACAAACCATGGATAGGAGTGTGCAAACTGGGGTGACTTCATGGAGAAGTTGATGGGGGAACTTCCCAGAGGGGGGAAAAGAAAGTATGTGCTGCTGATAGTTTATAAATTATTCATCTTACCATGTTTGTCCTCTTTTTATGAAGACTAAATCACTTTCCAGTGATTTCCTCAATACACCACTCTTGGCTTCTGCTCTTGCAGTTAACAGTCTGTAAAAAGGGAGCACTTGATTTCCATGAAATTGAATTGTTCCACTCCAACCAGTTTCACATTATCTAATGCCATAGGTGGTTTTAGTGGAAGAGGCCACTACTTTGAGAAAAGCAGAGAAGAGCAAGTCATTCCCAGGGTAGGAATAGAAGAGATCTTTTTAAAAAGTTGTTCAGTTTCTGTGAGGGTTCTATGCTTATGCTCTCGAAAAACTTCTAAATGTGCACCAAATTATAGATGCACCATTTCCCATGAAGGGTTTGACATTTGAACATGGGCAAGAGAATGTTTGAACAGTAGAGTGGGTTTTTTATATACTATACAGAACAAGCAAGGGTAGCACATCTCAATGAATAAGTAACATTCCCTCAGCTTACCCTGAACCAGGCCTACTCTAATATTAAGTCTCTGAGGTATTTATTGTCTTAGAAAACCAAGATGTAATAATTTTTGTCATATCTGCAGCATTACTACTCCAGTTAATGTGAGGTTTCCTTGATGTCTGAAAGGTAACCTTCCTACACATAATGTCCTTGCTCAGTGATTTTCAGCACTGATTTACTTAGGGCATTCATGTCTGTTTAGAGCATGTTTTTACTGTTCTTTCTGCTTGTGTCATTTACAGTAGGCTTTCAGTGCTTCTAGGAAGGAAAAGAAAAATCATCCCAAATTATAAATATGTAAAGCAGCAGTCCTTAGGCAAGCAGAGCCTGGGATTGCAAAGCAACTAATTTACATGAGCAGGTTATAAATGCCCAAGGTGTAAATCATGGCTGTGGACTCAGCTGAAGACTTACCCAAAGTTTTTAAGCGTGGCATCCCTGTCCATGTGAGGCTGTTGTCTTCAGCTCCCTGGGTGTGTCAGACTGACAGGCCAATAATCCCTTAGTGAAATTGCAGAATTGTAACCAAACACTTAGAGCAACCTCAGGGCCCCATCACTGCAGGGATACATGTTCTGGCTTCACTTGACTTAGATTATTAAATTAAGTGGAAGGAAGAAATCTAATGCCATGGGCCAAACATCTCTTTCCTCCCAAGTGCACATGAATGCAACCAAACCTAACTGAGAATGAAAATCTCATTTCTGCATTAGGCTTTAGGATTTGAAAAATTCAGATAGATGTTTTATTTCTTCATTACTGTCTCCTTTAAGATTACTGTTTTTCTGAAAAGGGAGCCATCCTTGATTCTGTTAGTACTAAATGACCATCCTGTGCATAAATATCAGTCACAGATTTCAATTTTTTTTATCTAACTTGCTTGTAATGACCTTCTTTTTCATTTGCTGTTGCAGGTTCCTACCAGCCAAAAGAAAGAAGGTGTTTATGATGTGCCAAAAAGTCAACCTGTAAGTGTAAGTATCTTCCCTGTGTATATGCAGTAAAGGAGATGTGCTTCCCAGCTTCTCCTACTCTCATTATTGTGTGTAATACTTGGTATGTTCCTCGTGATGGGAATCTTATCAATGATCTGTGTGGGTTCATTGGGTGGGTTCAGAATAACCAGGATTGTGATGTCACTTATATGCATCTCATTCATTACTTAAATCTTCTTGTCTTTCCCATCTCATTCTTATGAAAGTCACCATTTATAAATGTGTTGTCTCTGTTGATGAGTTGACCATGAGCCTTCTGCATGTTAGTACATGAGTTGTTGCTGCCTGAATTAGAAGGGTTCCTCTGTTAGCCAAAGCTGGACAAGGCTTGTCACTTTGAGCATAGGTTGCATTTTTCTCCCGTGTCCTCCATCAGAGCTGTACTTTGTGTTGTACTCCTTACAGCTTGGTTTTGTAGGACAGCATGGGGGACAAGGTCAGAATAGAGTGGAGGTTGAGAGAAGTAGTGTTAAGAAGAGGTATGTCAGAACATCATCTGTGACCTCTGCAGTGATTTTCTACAGCTATAATATCTACACTGGGATTTACTTGAGAGAGTCCAACAGAGGCTGCAAGTATGACTAAGGCACTAGAAAAACTGTCTTAAGAGGAAAGGCTGAGAGACCTGGGGCCGTTTAGTCTAGAGAAGAGAAGACTGAGAGGGGGTCTCATGAATGTCTATTGACTATCTGACAGGTGGGTGTCAAGAAGGAGGTGCCAGTCTCTTTTCAGTTATTCCCTGTGATAGAACAAGGGACAGTGGATGCAAAACCAGAAAGTTCCACCTCAACGTGAGGAAGAACTACTTTACAGGCCCCCCAGAGAGGTTGTGGTGTCTCCTTCTCTGTATACTTTCAAGACCTGTCTGGATGCATTTCTGAGTGACCAGCCCTAGATTTGGTCCTGCTCTGGCAGGGGGTTGGACTCCAGCTCCAGAGGTCCCTTCCAATCCCTTTCTGTGATTCTCTGATACTGCTGCAGGTGTGCAAGAGGCCAAGGGTCAGTATAGACCATCAACTTCATTCTTTCTGTCCTGGGCCTTGCATGGACAGTAGATAATTTTTAAAATAGTGGTAATATGATGTGGTATCTAAATGGCACTGGGCCCTTGCTGCGTGTTACCGTTTTGAGGAGGTGAAGCATTTCTCCCCAGGTTGTGTTCAGGAATGGTGACACGTGGTGGAAAGAAGAAGGGCTGTGGCAGGTGCCTTAGGAGCAAGGCATGCATTTCCTGAAGGGCAGGAGACTGCTTCATATACATTTGTGCTATAAATACCCTGAGAAATCGTTTGATTGCGTCAGTTACATGGATAATTAGTATTTTTGAGAATTTGTATGAGAATGGATAAAAACAAAGCAAAAGTCAGGAATTTGTCTCCATGGGGAAAAGGCCTGTATTCAAGAGAGAGAAAGAGGAGCCCCTTCCATGTAAAGATGCAGTAGTTTGTACAGCTTGGGCTGAGCACGGAGGCTGAGGTGCTGAATACAAGAGCTGAATGTTGGGGAGGGCTGGATGGGCCTGAATTGAGACACTTGTGTGATTTGCACAAACAAACAAAACTTGCCATAAATATTTCATGATTAGCCACCAGGAGGAGGGAGCCATCATCGTGTTGCCTGGGAAAATCTAGCCAAATAACTCATGTTGCATAACTTATGAAGGTGTTTGTGGGCATGGAATAGCTGTAGATTTTTCACTCATTTCTCATACAGTTCAGTGTTGCAATTTTTCCACTGTACATTTCCTGTGACTTTTTTATTACTCCTTCAGCAATGCTTCAGATTTACTCTGAGCATAGTCTGTAATTTAGGTCCTTGCAGGAAGCCTGGGTGTACAGCACACTTGTAAAGTGTCTGCAGACACTTTGGGATTAGACTGTCCTGGCAAAGGACGTGACTGTGAGAAATGGGCATATGGAATCTACTCTGTAATCATCAAATGTATTTAATCTGTCATCTCCATGAAGCTGGTTGCAGATGTAATTTTTTTATGTGTTGAATTTAGGGGGTTTTTTTGCTACTTCATGGTTAAATTTAAAGCACTTAGAGCTTTTTCTCCAAACAAGTGAGGTACTTTAATTTATGAAAAAAAGAGAAGAAAGACAAGAGGAAGAAATATGTAGCTGAGATTTTTGTTTCACCTTTCTATTAGTATATATTTTTCAAAAGGCAGCAATAGCTCTTAAAATTAGGTATTTAATATTCCACTGCCCATCTGATTTATTGCTCACCCTTCCACATCTGAGACTCTCTGTCATGGAGACACTTGCTATAATTTTTTTATGCAATTTATAGCTGTCATTATTATATAAACCTCTAAAATTCAATCTGAGGGCAAATAATTTAGCTCATCTACCTGGTTTAAACATATAAGGACACTTTCCTTATTAGAAAATCTTGCTTTCATTAATTTCATAACAGATTAATAAAGTGAAAAACTCTTTGTAGCTCCTAAATAGGTTTCAGGCACCATGAATTCTGTCTCCTGACAATAACTATAACACAATAAAAATGAAGCAAGTTTTGCTTGAGTACAAATGGAATTGTGCACACTCCTTGGGCAGAGATTGATTTTCCATCTTGGGCTTGTTTTCCTCTGGTGTGTTCTCAGGCAAGTTATCTCTAGCCTCCACAGATAAAGCTGAGGGACAGTGAAGTAGTCATCCATGTGCCCTCTACCCCCAACCCTTTGTAACCAGTGGAGAGAAATAGTCACTTATGGGGAAATTCCTCCTGTCTGCATGAGGTGTCCCTGTCGAGTGGAAATAAACATGCATCTGGACGTGGTTTTTTCCTGGCTGCAGAGGAACTTTAAATGATTTGCAGCTATGATAACTTCTAAACAGGCTTAGGTGGGGCGAGAGCTACCTCGGAGCAAAACTAAAACCACTTTCCAAATGTTGCTTTGAAATGGGAAGTGTAATTCATACTAGTTTTCAAAAAGATGCAGCTTCCTAAGTAAGCAGAACTGTTTGGGATCCCACTGAGGCTGGAGGTCTGAAGCACCTTCTAGTGGTGCCATGAAGCTGGAGTGTCCACCATGGTGCCTCGAGATGGCTGATGTACTTAGGTAACACTGTGCCAGTCTGTGAAGCCATTTGTCAGAAGCTGTCAAAGCACTTTCTAGCGTGACTCCTCGTGATCTCTGGTACCAAGCGATGTGAATGCAGCGCCAGTGAGGCGGGAAGGAATGAGTCTTGGATCTCGGAATTGGAATGTACCCACTGAGCTCAATGCTGAGTGGTGGCTGCCAAGGCACTGCTCTGACACTGGGATGGAAAGACTGCTTACTTGGTGGAATTCTTGTATTTCCCCATCTCTTTGCATCCCTTCCCAGCAATCCTGCCCTCCTCTAGGTTTCTGCTGCTGGGCGTGCAGATCAAATCCTAACACACACTTTTCAGTGTCTTCCCAGTATCTCTCCCTTCTTTTGTATTCATTCGTGTTTTCTCTCTGCTCCTTCCTTAGGCCAATTCTCCTATTCTCCTTTCACTGAGAATAGACATCAAGGTAGACAAAGCAAGTTTATCCCAAAAAGCTTGTGTGAAGTGGCACACGCTTCACTTAGAAACTGTGGGTCTGTATGTGAAGTTACCTGTTTTTAAGAAGTGAACTGTTTAATGAGCTCTTTTTTGTTGTAATTTCCCATTGTCTTCCCATTATGCATCCACATCAAGTTCTACCTGTCACGTGTTCTTAGTAGTAAGAGACAGACTGTAAATACCCTTCATGGAGCCTGTCAGTCACATCACAATAAAACTTTCTTCTCTCATCAAAATGTCTAAACTATCTGCTTAGGAATTTATGAAGGCCTTCAAACAACTCATCCTACTGCTCTATAAAGACTCAAGGCATGATAGCTGATGCCTCACCACGCAGGCAGTCATCTGGTAGGACCAACTACATGGAATATATTAACAAACCAGGGTGGAACAGAGAGGGAGTAATTTGGCTGCCCTGGAGGCAAGACGTGGAAAGACCATCAGAAAGCTGGGCTGGACCTCAGCCTGCTCAGGTCTAGAAGCCATAAGGGCTGCCAGATCCTTCTGCCTGAACTAGGAAGCTGCATTTGGGAAAGCTGAGTTGTAATTCTGGCTGGGATTACAGGACTGTTTGCAGGTGTGAGTTGTTCAGGTCTGGCATCTAAGGAAATGTGCCTGGGGTCATCTGGAAGGCACAGTCACCTCTGAGCTCCACCAGTTCTTACAGACAGCATGTCCCTGGAATAATGGCATGCCAAAATGTCTGTCAGTAAAGTTCAGAGCACCTTTGGGAATCACCCTAAATGTTCCCAGCAGCCTTACCACTGGGGGTTGTGCTCAGCTGTACCTGGTTAAATCTGGCTTGGTGGTCACGTGGTGCCTGCTGTCACTAACTGGGAAGGGCTTTGGCATTTGAGGACCTTTAGGATCTATAGGAAGTTGAAGCTTGCAGAGCCATTGACAATTTTTTCTTCACACACACATTCTTCAGTATATTCTTTTTAATTAGGACATAACCGAGCAATGCTTGGTTGAGTTGTCCTGCTATTCCATTAATCCACCTGTAGTTTTACAGGAAAACAGTGTGTCTGTTGGATGTTTTCATTGTGTCTCAACCTACTAGACGAGGTTTGACTGATGGTTGGTTTAGTCATGGTTCTGACGTGCTCTTTCCTTATAGTTCTAATTGGTTTTTGGTATGAGCTGCAGTTAATTAGCATGCCCCTCTAGCTCATGGAGCTCATAGTAATATCAACATTTGTTGTATAAGGTTGTGCAAATAACTGAGGCTTTGCTTAACTAAAATAATTATTTGAACCATCGGAAAAAATGTTTGACACAGACAAAATATGTACATGTTCAACTAAAATAAGAACAAAAATATTTAGATTGACTGTTTGACTTGTCATTACATCTTCAGTGTAAAATACATGTTAGGAAAAGGAGACTGGAAATGCAGAGTGGCCTGTGGTTGGATAACCTCTCTTTTGTCTACTG